CACACGGGCTTAATTTTTTTTTTGTTTGTTTTTAACAGGCCATTTGCTAAGCGCCAGAGAGGCAGCAGGGAATGAAATAGCTGAGATTATTCTCCAGACCCCCTACCTGGAGCATTTTGCCACATTTTTCAAGCCGGTTGGGTCTCTCCTCCCTAAAGCAGCAGAGAGCACTTCAACGAGCTCAATTCTGGCTCTTTTTTTGTGGCTTGAAATTTCTGAGGAAAAAAAAAAACGAAAAAAAAAAGGAAAAAATAGATGTATGCACAAGAGGGATGAGAAAAGTTGAGGGATGCAGCAGAGGGGAGGGCAGGGCCCTGAAGGGATCTTTGGAGCAGCAAAGGGGGCACAAGGGCACTTCAAGGAAGGGGACAAGGCGGTGCAGGAGGAGCCCCACTAATCGCCCATGGCTAATCGATGTCTATGGGGGGCTAACGAGCTTAGTAGAGAACAGCTTGGGGCATCGGGGGTGGGGGTCATAAAACCTCCCAGCTTCAGCGGGGGAGGAGGGCGGCTCATAAGGAGGTTAAGGCTCAGCCCAGCAGGTCCAGTCAAACTTGGGTCAGGCCCCTGTGGCAGCTGGCCCTGTCCCCCTCAAATGCACTTTGCAGACCCCTTGCTAGGTCAGGTCGAACACCTAAGGGTGCCAGGAATCTCCTAGCATGTTCCCAGGCCTGGCTGTCCTTGACACCATGGTCTCCAGAGCCCATGGCCGGCGCCAACCTCCCTCGCGCATCCGTCTGTCCGCGCCCCCCCATCTGGCTCTGTGTAACGGAGGTCACCGTCATTACGTGATTCCCGCGCGGGTCCAGCTGCAGTAGCTTAGGAGGGTGCCGCCTTGGCACTTGGAGAGACGGCCTGCACGCTGGGCTCCTCTCTGGCCATCTGTCACCAGCCCCGCCGCGAGCTCCTGCAGGCGGGGATGGGGAAGGAAGGTAAAATGGCCCTAGGGAAGGGCCAGCTACAAGCACTCACCCTTGCACCCATGCCCAGCGCAGGAGGATGCAGCTCCCCAGGGACTATCGAAGTGCAGGTAGTATCAGGGGGGGAAACTGAGGCATAAGCCTCCTCATTGCCCAAGAGCGCTAGGAGATGGATTGGGGGCTCCCACGGTGGGGGATGGCTGACGTCTCTGGCGTCTCCTGGCCCCATGGCGCTCCCGCCGCAAGAGGAAACAGGAGAAGCCAGGGGGGAAACAGTGCGCAAGGAGCTGATTAAAAATATCCAGCGGTGAGCG